CTCAGATTCCTCAGCCTACGGCTGAAGCACTATTAGTCTGCACAGTCATACTTGCCAACATAATGAGAACAAGAAATCAACGTCTCTAAGGCCAGTGTAATAGTGCATGCTGTTGTGTGCTGTCGAGTCAGAACCGACCCACAGCTGACCCTCCAGCAGGTTTATAGAGGCAGTAAATTGCACGGGAGGAGACTGCCCATCCTCCTCCCGCAGAGCAGCTGGTGGTTTGAGCCACATGCCTTCTGGACTGTAGTACAGCTTATTACCACTAGGCCACCAGAGCTCGTAATAATAGTGCATAGTAGCTTTTATCTAACGATCTGATTTAGAAAGCACATCTCTAACCAGGTGACTGGCCTGACAATCAGGACTGAGTGTGAGTTAAATGACCTACTACACTTTTCTAAGCAAATTTACCCGCTTATCTGAACCTGGGTTAGCACACTGGGTGGTATGCCACATCTCTGGCTTTATTTTACTAAAGGTCTCAAAACTCACTGGGGACAAACACCACATTAGAATAATGTTTGTGGATCTCAGCTCTTTACTCTTGGGTTCTCAAGTCTATAATGAAAACTCTTTTACTGTGCTGAGACCCTAATGCTTGAAGGTAGTAAGCTAGGTGTTGAGGATGGTGCCCGTTATGTGACAGTGGACAACCACAATATGATTTCATGCATAGGATCACATTTCCACAGCAGATACCTGTGTTCAAAAATTCCAATGTCTCTGACAGCAGAGCTATGACAACAGTTAAAAGTCATACTGTTTTTAAAAAATAAACTTCTATTTCAGATTTAAAATATAAGTTAACAGCACACTCTTAAATCTTTTTCTAGGTAAGAGAAAATGGCATATCTTTACATGCATAGTATCTTTTTAACTCCAGCAACATCTTTTTTGGGTTGTTCAATAATGTTTCCTAGAGAATTAAAAATCAATTGCAATCCTTTTTCCTCTAGAGAAAACAGAAACAACAGAATATACTCAGGAGGAATTCTCCCTTCTAAAGATGTTACTAGGGATGGGAATGGAAAAGGCTTCTATTTCATTGTCTTTATTCTTCGTGGGTTTTTTTTTTTGTTTGTTTGCTTTTAAAGTTGTACTTTGTACACACATTAGCAGCAATGATGCTAATATCTGCAAAGGAAAATGAGTCAAAGGGAGGGAATCATCACTTTGATAAGGAAGAAGGAATCCATGGATGGTACTAATCTGCTCTCCCTGCTGTCAATAAGCAGTGAGGGAGAGTGGCTTAGTGTAAAGCCGCCAATTGTATGAGAAGGCCTGGTTTGAAGTTCGATTCCAACATGCCCTGTGAAGGAAGCAGAGCCAGCCTGTCCGTATTCAATGGAAGGAGAGCTTTCGTGATGACAAAGGTCCTTGAGTCTAAATGGAAAGTGGCCTTCACTCTGACTCTGACTTTTCAGGCTGCAAAAGTAAAAGTGATTACCTCGAAGATGATGTCAAGGGTGGAAGCTCCTTTGAAACTTTTCAATGTGTTAGCAAGTCTGATACAAGTTCTGTCTCCTGTGGTGTCTGCACCGTTTCACAACTTGAATTTAGTATAACGGCAAGCTTTGCAAAATCATCTGGAGGTCACAAGGAGCGTGGCAGTCCTTGCTTTATTCACTCTACAAGTCACAGCAGCAGAACTTTAGGTAATTCTCACTGCAATGACTACAGGAGACACAGGTCAGGAGGAAGAATCAGGCCAAGAAGGTGTAATCAGGGCAGTGTTCCTTAAAAAAAAAAAAAAATAGAAAAATCCCAGATTTCTTATCTAAGTGATTTCTTTCTTCTTGTTGTTATGTGCCATCTAAGTGATGTTTATTCAGAAGGCTCAAGAATGACTCACTGCTCCATGTCTACTGGCTCTTAACAACAATAACAAAAAAGCCAAGAAATGTCAGCTTTGCACTATAGTTTGTAGTCACTTGAAAAAAATCAGATGCTTTGAGCTTTTATAATCATGTAAGTTTTTTTACCTTGTGAAAAGATAAAATTTTACCCAGTAATCTAATGTAAAGTTTCTATACCAGAAGAAAGGCAAACAGGACATTTGCCCCAAGATCTGTACTTCTGCAAGCTCCTAACTTGGAAGGAGGCCGTGATGGTCCTGTGCTGCTGGGATGCAGACCCAGGCACGCCGACACTTCCCTCGGTATTCAGCACGAAGGAATACTCTTTCGCTTACATTACGTCTAAAGACATGAAAGCAGGCAGAAAACGTGTGCCCCTGTCTGCACACCTGCCTCCGGTGGTGGAGAGCTGTCAGCCCGCAGAGCACAGGCATTGAGCCCTGAGCAGGCTAGCCCCTCTCCATGAGATGATCTAAGATTCTTAGAAGTGTGTGGAATCTTACTTAAAAACATAATAAATTAAAACATACATATCCCCAAAACTTGTAGCAATCCTGCCCCTAAAATATAAGCCAGAAAGCAAGCTTCATTTATTAAGCAGCCACAGCAACTTACATTTTCTAATGGGCTTTGTATTAGTACACAGACATAAAACTTACTATTGTGCCACAGGATTCATAATAGCTGAGATTATGATGTGATAAACAGAATATTCTGGATTTGTCAAATGCCTTTCTCTCATTTTGTTAACACTTTACCCCAGGGGGAGTCCCATTTCCTCCTCCTAAAATGGTAATTTCAGGAGGATGAATGACAGCCAGTTAAAAGAGAAAGCAAGGCTCTCCTGGGTCACAGGCCCTCAGCTCCTGCAGAGTGTGCCCACCCTGCTTGGCCAGAACCCCCCTGCTCTACGTGTGACTCCTTCGTAACCATCAACCAGGCTTTCACCTGTGACAGAGGCAGCAAGGCTAGCTAACCTGACATAATCCAAGTTTTTAGTTTGAGGAAGTGATGAAATTATCACAATAAAAACTGAAAGGGGTAGGGGAATATAGTGAAGTGCAGGAAAAAGAAAGAGTCCACGTAATGATTACGTGATTCAGTGCAAAGAAGAGGGGATCTCCACCTACAATCCTCCTGAACATACTGTCTGTGTCTTCTGCGACAATTTATGACAGTCCCAGAAGACACAGCCACTTGCCTGGCTAATTCACATTACAGAATGAGGAGCAGGGGTAGAAGGAGTCCTGGGAGGACCGCCCTCCAACACAAGGTCTTCTAGGCATCTGCCTTTTATTCCTTGGCAACTATCAGGGAGGTAGGAGTGGTCTCCTCAGGGAAACCGGTCACATCTGGGATCAGCCAGGATTGCCAAATCGGAGGGCAGTGCTGCACTGACTCACCTCGTCTGTGCCCATGAACTAAGAGGAGGCTTTTCAAACTCCCGATTATCAGGCAATGCCCCCCATTCCTCGCTTTTCCCCCTCACAAAAGTTGACCTGATTTCCCTGAAAAGTATCGCTAGATTCCAGAGAGGAACATCTCTGTCCAGAAAGTCAGAAGCACTGGTGAGTCTTCAAAATTATTCAGGAGTCAGGCCTAACTTCACAAGCAGAAAACTAACCAGCTACACGTACACCTTGAAAGGTTGAGAAAATGTCTCTCTCCTTTCCTTGCAAGGAGGAAGAAGAACTGACTATGATAAAGTGCAACATAAAGGGAAGAAATCTAGCAAAACGTAGTTCATTAGGATAGGAAGCAGCTGCTTTTAGAATGAGGTCTAATAAGAAACTGACAAGTTTGGTAAAAAAGAAGAGGGAGGGAAACTCCCGTTAGAGTTTAAAGCTAGAACATCAGCCAGGATAACACCGCTTGGAAATCATTTCCATGAATCTACCAAACAGAACATAAACTGTCTACAAAGAAAAAAAAAGTAGGTCAAGTACAGTTAAAGTATATGTAAACACAGTAGTTGCTTTTTTTCTTTTCTTTTTTAATACAGAAGATAAAAAACTTAATTCCTCCATTGTCTTCAATGAAGAAAATGAAAATTCTTGCTGCATTAGAGTGTGCACTCTTAGTGGGAAGCCCAGTTTGCCTGTCCGCGTGCTCTTACGGAATAAACACACTTGCATTCTCAAGAGGAAATGCTCTTGCTGTGCTGAGTCTGACTTGTCTTCACGTTGCTGAACTGCACTTGGTACAATCATAAGACTAGAAGGTATGTGGTGGGTGGTGGTATCTGCCTGTGACCCTCAAGGATCTGCACCGTGTAAGTAAAGAGAACATGTACACAGTAGACTTACTCAGTGGTCTAGAGGCTTTAAAATTAACAGTTGCTGTGGCTTTAATTGTAAACGGCAATTTAAACTCAGCATTTCAATGTTTTAAAACAACTGCATTAATGAAATTATCTATTCTTTCAAAACACTACCATTAACCCTTCTTTTCTTCCATTTAATTCTCTCAGATTTGCTACTTCCTCTCTGATCCCAACACACTTGGCAGTGTGCAGTGTCAACAGCATGAGGTAAGAACCACAGATCCCTGCCATCACCAAACTTTACCAACAGGGGATTTTCTCTTTTACCTAATGTGCCAAATTGTTCTGACTCTTTCTGGGGGGGTGGGGAGTTGTTGTTCTGGTTTTGAAACTTCTCCATGAACACAATACACAGAAGGGACCTGCACTTGCTGAATAAAAATTCCCATTGGTGAAAACATCTGAGCACTTCAATACTATAGAACTTTGAATAAAAACTACTTTATCAATAAGTGAAATGGCAGAGAGGGGTGATTAAACTTATCTGAACGAAGATAACAATTTAAGCAAAAACAAAACCAAACCCCACCAATACAGAGTAGTTTACAAACATATAGGGGGGAAAAACCTATACCCAGAGGCAGGGTTAAATTTGTCACTGTACAAATGCTATTCACTTGCATTTGAATTCCAGTGCCTTCCAAGTTGATGGGTAGATGGTGAATAAAACAAAGCAATTCCTTTCTTCTCTCTGTGAATTCTATCACTAGGCAGTTTTCTGGTTTCACCCGTGTAGGCTGAGAGATGCATTTCTTCCGCCTGCATTTCCATTTTGTGGGGTCCCACTCTTAGTTTTCCAAGGCAGCCCCAGTAGACTATTGTAAAGACTCAGGGATGGTGCTGACTGCATGGGTTGCCTCTGTGGCCACTGGAGGGGAACCAAAGAAGGTGTTGGTTTGATTCCTTTGCTGATCTCGGAGGTAAGGCGGAACCGACGAACTTTTAATGTGGAGGATCCTGGTATCCATCACCTGACAGTCAATCTGCATCATCACTTCGTAATCCTGCCCATTGATCACATTCTCTGCAGAGAGGAAAACACACAGTAAGTATTCAACAGAATGTATGTGCATCACTGCCATCAACTTCCATCCCAGAAGGACACAATTAGCGTTAAGTATGTGAACTGTCAATACGCTTTAAAGGGTGCAGAGGGACTTCATGCGTCACCATGCACAGCTACAGCTGGGCTGTTTGCCAAGACAGCCTGTCTCCCCTCCATTCCAGCTGCAAACTACCTATACTGGCTGAACAAGGCGAGAACCACTGCCAGAGTGAGAATCACAGAGTATTCATCCAGACATTGCATGCCTCCTATCTTTTCATGCAACAGCACCATGGCTGTGGCATAATGGGACATAAGAGGATTTATTTGGGAGTGGAAAGGGATATTTAAGCCTTCCTCTCCTCCTTCATCAACAACCTATGTTATGCAGGTGACATAACCTTGCTTGCAAAAGTGAGGAGGACTTGAAATGCTTGCTGCAGAAGTTCAAAAACTACAGCCTTCAATACGGATTGCAACTCAACAACAAGAAGACAAAAAATCCTCACCACTGGATGGATAAGCAACATCATGACAGATGGAGAAGAGATCAGGTGATATGCTGCACTGGGAAGTCTGCTCTCAGGGTCCTGTCCAATCTACTAAGGAGTAATGATGTCAGTTTGAAGATTAAGGTGTGCCTGATTCAGGTGTGGTCTTTGCAATCACAATGAATGAGGATGACAGAAGAATTCATGCCTTTGAGCGGTGGTGTTAGAGGAGAGTATGGAATATCCTATGGTCTGCCAAAAGGATGAACAGATACATCTTAGAAAAGGTGGGGCCAGAGTGCTCCTTGGAGGCAAAGATGATAAAACTGCATCTCAGATATTTTGAGAATGCTACGGAAGGTGAGCAAAAGAGAGGAAGATCGTCCAGGAAGATCATCCATGAGATGGACTGACACAGTGACTGCAGTAATGGGCTAAAGTGTGTCACAGTACAGGACAAAGTTTAAATATGCTGTTCAAAGTGTCCACGGCAGCATCTGACAACAACAACTCCCCTTCAACAATGGAAAGAAACAACTGTCAAAAAGGATCAACACACCATGCAAATGGTAGGATCCCTTGGCCAGGATGGTTTGATTCCTATTCACTGGTCATATTTCTAATGTCATTAAGAGACTCCCAACTATGAGGGACTGGAGAGCATTATGCTGTGTGAACTAACTCAGTCCCACAAGGATAAATACTGGATAAAACCATTATTGTAGAATGAGTATGAGGAGCCATGGTGGACATAGCAGGGTGAGAATGGAGGGGTAGTGTGTTAATCACAGGGTTGCACAATTTGATGGGTGGGTGGGGTGAAGGAAATGAGAAGGATCTTTTGTGAAAAACCAACGTATTAGAACTTTGTAAATAAATCAGAATAAAATTAAAAAAACAAACACAGAAACAACAATAACAACAACAACAAACTCCCAACTATGAACTTAAGGGTTTATTTGCTTTGGAAGAATAATTTTGTGCTAAAGACTAACAAGTTATACTCCTTACAGTTGTTCTCTTCCCAGAGATCACTGTCATCTCCCTCCCACACTATAGAAATCAAACTCTACTGAGGCTTATTGCACAGGAGGAGACAGCCCATCTTCCTCAGCTGGTGCAGCTGGTAGATTTGAACCAACCACCTTTGGATTGGAAGCACAACTCCCTATCCACTAGGTCACTAGAGCTTTCTTCCATACTGCAGTGATCTTTAATTCCAAGAGGTCCTGATCCTAGGTACAGACAGACATGTCCGTTTCCAATTTAGGATTAAAGGGAATACTATATAATTTGCAGGTAAGCTAGAGAGAACAGGAAAAGCACAGTCACAGTTCATCTATTTTCTTTCTCTAGCTTTATAATTTAAAACAAAATTTAGAAATAGATACTTAATTTTAAATTCTAAAGCTAGAGAAAAAACCCCTAAGTTTCACATCTGATGCTTAGATCCATTTTCTACGGGTGAGAGACTTAAACCACAGTTTGTTGGTTATGAGTAGGAAAGACTTTTGGAGTTCATGACGTCCAAGGTGGTGTCACAGGCTTCTGGGAGTACCTAAGTTTCCTCAAACAGTTTCAGAATTTTGTGTGTGAGTTCCTGGAGAGAGCATCCATCCACTTTTCAAAGGGATTTGTGATCCTCAAAATGCTAAGAAATACGAGACACTTCTACCAATCTATCACCTTTAAGTATCCTGAGCAGATAATATAGTCTAATTTGAAGCCAACAGAAACTGTAATTCCTCTACTACTATTGGTCAGTTATCTGCCCCAATGCTTAAAATAGTTTCCAATGGTGATAAATTTCCCATCTCAAGTCTTGTAAATCTCTTCTATTACAATCAAAGCTTATTTATTTCTTTTCCAACCTGTCTAGAGATGAAGAACAGCTGGCTGCTGCTGCATATTAACTAGCCCTATTTTAAAACCACTGCTGTGGAGACGCAACTCCAATGTTACAAGTTCTAGCCTGTCTGCAATGACTACTATATCATTTGCTTATTTTAGAGAATTAAATCTGAAAGCCTGTGAGTTAGCAATTTTCCCATCCCTCTACTCTCAAGTGTTCCCAAAAAAGTAAGAGATGGAAGAAAAGAGAAGAAAGACTGCTAATATGTTCAGTCCCTTCACTTAGAGCACGTGACTGAGTTCAGGTTTCAGGCGTCATGCTGGCCATTTCCTTTTGGATCCAGGAGCCCTCTCTCTCTCCACTTCACAAAAACTGAAGGATCATGTGTGAGCGCATGTGTTGGAGCACAGAAGAGCAAATAATGGAAACCACATGTATCAGAGACATGCAATACACATTACTAATTTTTACTGCTTTCCTGAATTAATTCAGAATCCAGATGACAATGTAGGATCAAGACCAGATTCTCTCATACAGCTCAATGCATCTGCAGAAGTCATTATTAGCGCACGTGCCTGCTACGTTTAAACTGATAACTGGAATTCTATAATACCTTTGATATCAAGAAGGGATTGAAAACACAGGAGTATAAGCTCAGATGTTTTGCAGAAAAACTAAAGCAATGATCTTATTCTAAAATTTAGGAAGTCCTAACTATGGCTGAAATGGTACTGCCATCAAAAGCCTGGCCAGGAAATCCAAGCCAGGGATGGTCTGACTGGCTTCAAAAGGGGTCCTGTTCTTCACACCTTTATTCTTAAAGCAATAACTTCTGGGTCAATAAAACTATCAGCATTGCTATAAAACTCCATGGAAAAAGACATCATGCTCATGATGTAAGAAAGGTAGAGACACCCCCCCAAAAAAGACAAAGACCTTCAATAAGGATCATTTGCAGACTGATGTGATGGCGACAATGGACTTGAGCATGGCAGAGATCCTGATCAGGGCACAGGACAGGGCAAGGTTACAATCCGTTGTTTACAGGGTCGCTATGAGGCTTAGATGGCACCTAGCAACACCCCACAAGACTCTGCCAGACAGGACGTGGATGCTATTTCATTTTTTTAAGATTTGGAATGCTTCATTGGTGAAATGAAAAATTATCTGAGAGGATCTTGATTTTTTTAATGTTATAATTAGTTTTTAACAATTTGCTTTTCACTTACATAAAGTATGTATGATCTTTAGAGGTTCCTGATTTTAGTTAAATTTAAATTTTTTTATATTTTACATTGGCTTGCATATAAAGTTTTATACACATTGTTTTTCACATTATCCTTCACTCACATTGTGTTTCATACAATCATTCTTACTCATTATGTTTTATAATATCATTCACCATTAAACCATGCCCACAGTGCAATATCATTACTATCACAAGCAAGTAAGACTCTGCTGAAAATTATCCAAAAATGACTGGTACAGCACATCAACAGAGAACTGCCAGATGTGCAGGCTGGATTTAGAAGAGGCTGTGGTACTAGGGATATTGTAGCTAATGTTAGATGGATCTTGGCTGAAAGCAAAGAGGAGGACCAGAGGAATATCTATCTGTGTTTCATTGATTATGCAAAGGCGTCTGACTGCGTGGATCACAACAAACTGTGGCTAACTTTGAGAAGAATGGGAATCCCAGAACACTTGATTGTGCTTATGTGAAACCTAAACTTGGACCAGGAGGCAATCATCAGAACAAAGCAAGGAACACTGCACGGTTTAAAATTGGGAAGGGTGTATGCCAGGGATGCATCCTGTCTCCAAACCTTTTCAATCTATATACAGAATGGATCATCCTGGAGGCTGGGCTCTACGAGGAGAAATGTGGCAGCAGGATTGAAGAAAGATTCATAAAAAAACCTGCGTTATGCAGATGACACAACCTTGCTTGCTAAAACTGAGGATGGAAGCACTTGCTGCAGAAGGTCAAGGACTGCAGCCTTCAATATAGACCTGAAGCTCAACATCAAGAAAATAAAGATTCTCACCACCGGGCCAACTGGCACCACCCTGATAGACAGTGAAGAGACTGAAATTTTTAATAGCTCTAGTTGGCTTGGCTCCACAAGCAACATTCTTTTTAAAAAAATTTTAATGAAAGTTTACAGAGACTTTGGATTTCCATTCATTCATGGTTGTACTTTTCTCCCTGCCCACCCCTCCCCTCCTATTTGCTTTTCCCTTTGAAAAGTAAAAGAAAAAATTCATTGTTATTCAATCCCTCCCCCCAAGTCCATTCCACCATGTTCTGGACTCCTGTCATAACAATAATATCTAATCATATAACCCTTTTAAACCGTTTTCTCCCTCATCTGTTTCAATGCAGTATACATTATTTATCCCCTTTCTTAGTTTTCCCTTAACCCCTATGTCAGTCCTCTTTTCTAACAGTGGCATTATGCCGTATTTGTCTTTTTGTGACTGAGATATTTCATTCAGCGTAATGTCCTCCAAGCAATCAACACTCTTGGTACCAGCAGCCAGGAAATGAAAAGACAAGAAATCCTGCTGTCACATTTCTCCTCATTTTCTCATTAGGAAAATCTGCTATCAGAGACCTCTCTAGAATATTGAAG